ACAGGGTCCTTAACCCTGAGAATGAGTTTCACATTTTTATAGGGTTATAACACATATATGCAAAATAGAAACATAGAACACAAAGACGATACAAGTGGCTCAGAAAACCTGAACTATCCATTCACTGATTCTTTACCTAAAAAAGGCTGCTGGCCCCTACTGCAAAGGCTACAAGCCCTGTCATCTGGAGGACAGAAAGTCTCTCACCTGTACACTGGAGAGATGACCCAGTGGGTAAGAGGCACTGAATACTCCTCCAGAGAACCTGGGTTCAATCCCTAGCACACACATGGCAGCTCACAACTGTCTGTAACTCCAAGATCGGACATTCTCACACAGACACATGAAGGCATAGTGCACATAATAACAATAAAGATAAACTATTTTTTTAAAAAAAGAAAGAAAACCTTCCACATGTTTTACTAGCATACACACCCTATGGGCCTGGAGTCAAAACCTTCCACATGTTTTACTAGCACACACACCCTATGGGCCTGGAGTCAGCAGCATTTCTGAATTCTTTCTATAAATATTTCCATCCAGAGATCAGCAAATTCAAATAAGGTTAGTTTTCAAAGTAAGGTAGATCACTTAGCCTATACACTGTAATACTGCACTTTGTAAGTAACTCTTTAGAAGCTGTTTTCTGCCTTGCACCAGAAACTGAAACAAAGGTGGGATACAGTGTTTCCAGGGCATCTGCTTCCGGCCTGCAGTCCCCACCAACACACTCCCATCCTGCAGGTAATGCTGATGCTCACCTAAGGCAAAGTTGAAGGCTTACAACAGTGTTTCACTCACTTTACAAAGCCACAGATACAAGTAACTTTAAAACAAAGTGTGAAAGGGAATGTAGAGAAAAGAACGTGTGAATGAGGTTTTCTTCTGGAAGAAAGTGAAAATCATTGAACATAAAAGGCCAAGGCAAACAGGAACTTGTTCAGTTGTAAGCAAGAAATTTAAGCCAAGAAAAGAGTCAACAGTGAGCAGAAAAAAACAGATGATGGAAAGAAAGCTAACAATCAAAATCTTCATAAATCACCCGTTCAATCCCTCAAAGACCACCTAGGATCCAATTCCAGGCCGCAATTAAAATGCAGCCGTGGTTTCTTTTAAGTGAGAAAAACTGGCAACAGTCTTCAGATGGAAGCAGAGTTCGGTGTTTAGTGAAGATTGTACACATATAACAGCAACAAAGCACTGAAAACAAATGTACAAACATAAACACATAATTAAGATCTGGAGAGACGGAGAGCAGAGACAACAGAAGACAATTTGACTTTCAATTTTTACTTCACATAATTTATCACTCCTAAAATTTGAACTTTATTCATACATGACCTGAATATCTATAAAGATATGTAAGTTTACTGTCTGAAGATCACAAAGCTTGGAGATCCAAAAGCCAAATAGCCTTATTTCTTCAGATTTAAATTTACTTTCATTTACACATTGGAAACTGAAGATAAAACATTAAAAGAACAGTGAACTTTTCATCTCTCCCATGCAGCTCCCCATTCTTCTGAAAACAAGTACTATAACTTATTTCTTATCCTATAGAAAAACTGAGAAACAAAACTATGTATTTATTTATAGAAACTTTCTATTCTCCTTCCACATTTCAACAACCAATTAATTCTGTGAAGATACAGCATCTCTCTCCTATAAATTACAACAAATGACTGAGCAGATGTATATAGGGACTTACTCCAATACAAACAATTCTACAGCAGATAACAGGGAAGCTCTACAATCCCATTCAGCTGTAATACCACAGACATAGTGCCAACCAACAGGTTAAAGACCCATGCCTAAGTAGACTGTCACCTGTCCTTCTCATCAAGCAGCTTCCTTAGGGCTTAGTTTGTAGAATGGTTCACAGTACTCAGAGGAAGACTTACTGCATTTACTGTTTAATTATAAGACATAGGAAGGCTGCAGATGAACAGCAAGATGAAGAGATGTGCTGGGCAAAGTTCAGAGATGCAGCCTTCTCTGCTCTGCCACGTGCTTGGCAACCCAGAAGAGCATGAACCCTTCAAAGTCAGGAGGTTTTACAGAGCTTAATGTCCAGCCCCACCCTTCCCAGAGATCATGGGTGAGGCTGAATGTTCCAGCCCTCTAGTCCCTGCAGTACCCAGTCCCATCCTGGAGCTCGCCAAGAACTTCACCCAGTTACCTCGTTAGCATAAAATGATGTGATCAAAATGTCTTACCAAGAACAAGTGACATTTCTATCATTCTAGAAACTTCGAGAATTGTAGCTCTCAGCAAAGAACAGGACAAAGATCAAATACCTGTCATATTCATAGAATATGTAAACGTAACCCTGGTATTTTTTTTCTTTCTTTTGATCTTTAAAAAAACTACTGTCATTTTACACATATATGTAATACATTCTGGTAACACACGCACACATCCCTTCTCATCCTCTTCCCATCCCATGACCTCAACAAGTTCCCCTCCGATTACCATATCTTTTGGAGAGGGGGTTGTTTTGTTTTATGGCCTTCCGCCCCCCTCTTTTTTGGGGGGTAGGGTTGTATTCTGTACCCCCAAATCAAGTAAATCTTCCTGCCTAAAGCAAAAGATTATAGACACTTAAACCACATCCATAGCCTTAAAGTTAACTATGCCCTCACTAGTGGATTTACATACTTAAACAGATTTTCCTTGAATCACACCTACAGTTCCACCTACCTGAAACTTAATTTATTGGAAACCATGACAGCTCAATGACAGGAACTGGTATGCGCTATTTCACCCCACTTAACAGTTACTGTCTGGATTTCTGGTCTGGCTTCCCCTTCATGTTTCAAACTATAGCCCTTGAAACTTTGGTTAGATCTGCTTGTTTCTTTAAATTTTATGTAGTTATTTCCTTTCCCATCTTAATCCCATTCTTCCAAATAAAATTACTAGTTAAACAATTTCCCTGTCCTAAATTCTCATAGATCTTTTGTGCTCTGTTTCTTTTCTTTGAGACAAGTCTCATCTGTCAGACCTCAAGCTTCTGGCCTCCACCTCAAAGGCAGGCACCACCTGGTTAGCTCTCCCACTGTGCACGCTGTGCACGCTGTGCACATTCTACCAACTCAACTACACCCCCAGCCCTAATTACCTGTTTCTGATGGACACATTTCCCACTTTATTTGTACATATCTCTACTAGAACCTTTCTTATTATTTATAATACTATTTTAATTATTAATATTTACATATTAATATTTTATAGCTTGAAATTCTAGTTTCATTACATATTCTAAGACCTTTCCAGGATCCTTCCAAATCATTTGAATGTCTCTAGTACTAAGATACAAATTTTGGTTTCTTTCCTGGCATAATTTTTATCCAAGGTCATTTTCTTTTGAAAATAGTAGACATCTTTGACTGTGGGCCGCTATATGTTTTATGCCAACTTTTGGAGGCCACTGTTTACAGCCTAAAACCAGTTCTTTAATTAGTTCATATTGTAAACAGGTGCCTATCTCCAACCCCAGATTCAAGTGAGCTGAAGATACTTCAACTGTAAAGCCACTGGCCTAGCCTGGAGACAGAAATGAGATGGTTACCATCAGGAAAGGCTATCCACTAGGGACCAGAGCTTTCCACACTATTCACAAGACAGAGGTCATGACTTGGTGTAATGAGCAAGTGTGGCAGTTAGAGACCTGAACTTGAATATGGACTCAGATAATTACCAGTTTAGCATGAGCAGTCACTCTGGAGATCCAAAATGGTCTTTGAATTGGCATTGGGGTTAGTCACATTTTCCCTGGCCTGTGACCACCCAAGGAGAATATGTCCACCTAAGACAATATAATAGCATTGTTCATACTATTAAATGTATCCTTTGTTTTTATGTTATTAAGTATGACCTTCCCTTTCTGATAGTTAAATCCTATCTTTTAGGAGAGAATACGGACAGTGGACTTTTCAGGGAGTTTTGTTATTGTCTTAAAGACACTGTTTTGTTATGTTCCAACAGGTTAGTCTTAAAAATCACTAATTAGCGGGTCTCAAAAATCACAGCAGCCTTCCTGTCTTCCAAACAGTAGGATTTACAATAGTCTTTAAGAAAGGTCTTAAAGAAACACTGGCAATCTCATGTCTGGTCCCAAATATCTACATATATCATAACAATATTATCCCTACACATATACTTAACAACAACAAAAACTATCATTGAAGTTTAATCTAGGAACCAACCACTCTTAGAACGCTCATTTTTCTGCTTCAATGAGTAAAGTGTTCCTTTCACAATCATGAGGACCCGAGTTCAAGTCCCTAACAAGCTCATATAAAAAGCCAGTTACATAGTTTCATGTAACCCCGGTGCCAGGGGTGAGGGGGATTGAGACAGATCTTGTTAGAGGGCAGGCCTGCTAGCCAGTCTAGACAATGGTCAACCCAAGGATTAGTGAAAGATTGTTTCTCAGAAAATAAGATGGAGAAGTAACTGAGGAAGATGGCTGTGGCCTCCATACTAAATGCACGCAGGTACAACACACACAAAAGGGAAACCCAGTTGTCAAACTCACGTATGTGCACACGTGGTACTGTGATCTTATTACAAGCTTCACTGCCTGACTTGAAGGTTTTCCCAATAAAAAGAACGGTCCTTTGGCAAGCTCCACAGTCAACCTGCCCGGGCTTAAACCTTTGGCTTGCCACTTGCTGTGTCCAGTATTTGGTACTTAAGTCACACCCTCCCTGAGTTTCAGTTCTCCTCAAAGCTCACAGCAGGAACTACTCAAAGGACTTCTTTCACTCTCTCATGATTTAAATTAAGATAGTTTAAATCTAAATTAGATCCAAAATGCTTATTGCAATGCTGTATAAAACATTCCTTATTAAGGGTTAACACTACTTTACTATTTAGAAGACAGAAGTTGTCTTCTAAATGCCGGGGAGTTTCTGCATCAACATTTTTTAATGATTAAATTAAGAGGCTATGAGGATAATCGAGATTAATACTTAAAACACCTCATTCTCTATCTGGGTCAGGAGGGAGCATGTGAACATCACAGAGATCCAGACAACTGAAATTACTAAGCAGTATCTACAGAAATGATATGTTCTTCACTTTGAAATTTGTAAACATTGATCAGTTTCAGCCATATGAGCATATTTCAGCCATAAACATTTACCTTCAAATAAACTAGTTAACTTTCAATAAAATAATTAAACCAAATATAACTTTGAGCCCAGATTTTTGTTCCCTAAGAAGAACAGATTTTAGTGTTTTCTTTGTGTCTCAAATATAACTAGCTTGCTCACAGTGAGTTATAATTTTAATTTAACATAATATAAAAAGTTAATACAGATGAGAATTTAAAACTGGAATTAAATACTAATTAGGCATAAACAGAATCATGAAACTTTTAACTTAAAACAATAACAAAGATTGTAAAATGAGCAGGTATGGAGACTCAGGTGTTCAACTGACCCCAGACAGGGGTCAATTCAAGGCCAGCTTGGGCGATGTCAGACCCTGTCTAAAAACCAGCCAAATAAATAAATAAAAACACAACAACCCTGAAATGGTGAGTCATTTATGACTTTGAAATGCACTTTTCATAAGTATACTAAACTCCTTATAAGGATGTAAGTCAGATACTTCTTCCTTAGCAGCTTGAGAATGAATGAAAACCTCCTAATAAAAGTTGGCCTAATGACGAGAGAGCATTTTCTCATCATTGCTGGCCTCTAACTTTCAAGCTTTCATGACTACACAAAAGAGCCAGGCTCAGCCTGCAAATCGAAGCTCAAACCGAATTTCCTAGAAACCCAGTATTAAAAAGTTAAACTGTTTTCTTTGATAGCCAGTGAATTATATCGGTTATACACAAGATACGTGTACTTTTTGATTTATTCGGGAGATGTGACCGACTGTTTCTCCTCTAACTCCCAGAATAATTGGAAACTAAAAATAAAACATTAGTTTGCAATCCCTTAACAACATAAACAATGCTCAGGGAGTATGCATGGTTAAGAGTACAACTATGAAGTCAGCTTAAATCCAGTCCTTTAATACTTAAAGACTCTGGTCTTGAAATAGTTATTTAACCTTATTAAGTATTTGCTGGGAGACAACAACACTAACCCGAAAGGGTTATTCTGGAGGCAACCTGTTCAGAGAACAGTGCTCTGACCATTTCTAACAACAGTGCTGCTACAGTTACTAACAATTCCTATACCAGCAGAAATAACGACGACACTAACTTCTTTGCTTAGAAGTGATTGCCACAAGCAATTAAGTGGATAATTCCAGCCATCCAACGTTACTAAGGGTGCACTTAGGTTGAGGTCAGTTATTTTGATCATGCTTCTCACCACAAGCAATACTCATTTTCTAGAATGATCGTCTGTACCAAAATAATAGAAAACAAAGTCGAACCTAATGCCACAAACGCAACACCCGACTCTGGGTTGGTTATGAAAAGCGTTGAAAGTCACCTGCCAATCCCGGTGCACAGATGCCATTTCATAAGAATGGACAAAACCACGCCAATCTTGGAACTTTCTAGCCTGCAACAACTCTTTCTTTTAAAATAAGGAACACACACACACATCCCAACTCCTGTGCCTCCCTGGACTCGGTTGAGAAAGAAATCTTGCTAAGAGGGTTTGGAACCACAAAATAAGACTTTCCCAAGCGCAGGGTGAAAGGAGACTGGGATGCTCCAGGTCTGGGAGCCACCTGGCTGGAGTCCTAGGAGGAAAGCGGGATGTCCTGGCACCAGTGAACCCAGAACCCCAGAGAGCGCGGCGCCCCTCCCTCCGCCCCGCTGCCCACCGGCCAGGCCGGCCGCACGCGCGAACACAAGCGGCGCGCGCGGTTCCTGGAGCGGAAAGGCCCGGGGCCACCCCACCGCGCCAGGCCTCCCGCTCCGCGCCTTACCGGACGCCTGGCCCGTGCCAGGTGGTGCAGCAAGCAAAGAGGCCGCGGCGCTACAGCCGGAGATGCTCGGCCCTGGCGCCGCCCTGCCGGCCTCCCGCGAGCTCCTGGCAGCCGGCGCCAGCCCCGGCTCGCTCTGCTGGGGACCCGCCCCACACGCGAAGAGGTAGCGGAGAAAGAGGCGCGGGCCGGTGCCAGACTGACGGACAGGCACGCGGGCCAATGGGAGGCTAGGAGCTGGCGCGGGGCGTGGCTCAGGCCTGGTTCCGCCCTCGATCGGTTCCTCTCGGCGGCACCTTCCTGCGCCGGGTTCCTGGGTGTTAACTGTTCTGAGGCCGCGTGCATAGGCTCACGTGCGACCCCGACGGCGGGAGGAGGGACGTGCTTCGGGGGAGCAGGGTAGTACTCGATAGCGCAGGGTGGTTTATCCCGGTCACCGGCTAGGTCCGCAGGGAGTCGGCGGCTACCGCAGGGCGTTCACGCGAGAAGACGTTGTGCGCAGGCGCGGCGCTGGGTCGGCGGGTACCAATCTCCTGGTCCTGCAGACTGGAGAAAATAATGGTGTGGGTCCTCGTGGACCGCCGGTGGAGGAGAGAAGAAGCGGACAACACAGGAGAGTGGAGAGTAGAGACCACAAGAAACGCAAGCTCCGTCGCTTTTGGAGCGCCTTATTTTTCTGATTAGTATTTACTGGTGTGTATAGATCTGTAAAATTCTGTGCCATCGCCCATGGCTGCTGGCCCAGTTACTGACCTACCGGGAATTTACTAATCCCTAATGCTGCCACCGTCGTCGCAAATATACAGTGTTCTTGGGAAAGTGCTACAGGAGTTCATCTTCCCATCCTTGAAAGCAGCAAGGAGCTCTCTCGCTCTCTCGCTCTCTTTCTCAGACACACACACCTTCCTACATCTGTTCCCACTCTCAACTAGGATTTTGGAGAATATTTGTTTTTGTTTCAGAAACCATAATCGCTGGAAATTATTCACTGTAATGGAATCTATTTAACCTACTTATACTTAAGGGATAGGTACAGCAATTTTAAAAAAAAGATAAAAGGGTAAATAAGAGGCAACAAAGAATAAAATTAAAGGTGATGGAAATGAATAGGAAAAGTTGAAGAGAAGACAGAAAAGTGAATTGTTCCCCTCAAAGCAGTTGCATGACTCTGAACGTTGAAGGGCAGGGCATGTGAGGAAAGACTACAATTAGATGACCGATGATAGGCATGCCTGCTATAGTCACCACCGCAGTAAAGAAGAAGTATAAATAAGTGTGGCCTGACATAACCCTGCCTGGCAGAAACTCGAGGTGTGGCCGGCTGAGTGATGGACGCTGCAAAGTGCAAGTGAATTCATCAGTGAAGTTCTGGTGTCCTCAACAGGGAGAGTGTGGACTCTGTCCTCGCGACAGTCTGCCCTGGATTAGGATTATTCCAGGTTGAAGGGTTGCAAAGAACTGTCGCAACAGAATTAATTTTGCTTGAGGTCAATAGAGTCCTTATTAAATACAGTGTCTGCTAATGTCAAGAAGATAGGCGCCCATTTGCCTGATGTACTCTGGCTTGCAGATTTTCCCAAGAGATTGGTCAAATGCCTTCCAGTGATACGTAAATGATTTGTTATTATACAAACAAGCCAGTTTTTCTGCTGTTCCCCGACCCCCCCTCACAACCTCTCCACACACACACACCACTCACTCTCGGAAAGGGCTGGGCATAGAATGTGAGATGGTGATAGGGAATTAGCCAGACACACATCACCAGTAAATACCAGGCCTGGTTTAAAAATGTGCCACCCAGCTGTATTGCATGACATCGATCACAGTATCATAAGATGGTGATCTAGGATGAAGGCCTGATCTGAAGAGTAGAAGAGCTTCTACTGACTGAGAGTCTGAAGAGCTGGGGTTTCTCAGCTGTCTTGTGTACACAAACATACTGAAGAACAGTGACTTAATCCTTAGAACCCATTTCTGTAGACAAGAATTACATTGAAGGCTCTAATCCCTGAGATAGTAAAGCAGGGTCATTACTTTGTAACTGACAAATCATAAAACATACTCAAGCTTTAGAAAATTCTGTACTCTTGAATTTACTGTTTAGCAAATACCTTATCTATTCAGTGTTGCTAGGATCAAGCAATTTTGTCCTCAAATATTACTATTTTTTGATTCTATGGTAGTTGTAGCAAAACAATAAGATAGCTTATTAATATTGGCATTTCTTTATGAATCTGGAAGGCATGGCCACGTGTATTGGAAGTCAGAGGACAAACCATTGGAAGAGTCAAGTTCTTTCTCTCCACAATGAGGATTTGAACTCGTCTATAGGTTTTGCATTGTGTCTTTTATCTGGTGAGCCACCTTCCTAGTCCTCACTAGTTAATACTTAAAGGTGAAGATTTTTTCTATCTGGAGAGAGCTAGAGTATACTGGTTCTTATTTAAACAGACAAAGGAATCATACACATCTCTGAATCTCTAGGAATAATACAAATAAGTGGGCATTTTGTTTTGTTTTCCATGCAGATTTAACCTAGGGCTTCAAGCATTTTAGACAACCATTCTGATGCTGAATTATATTCATTGGTGTAAAGAGACCCATCACCACAGCAACTTTTTTTTTAACTTTTTGAAAAATTTTATTCGATATATTTTGCTCAAACTTTTACAAGAATATAGAGGGAAAAAAAGTTTGACAAAAACCAGTCAAAGCACAGCACTACTGAATGTATTGGGCACATTTGTTGTTATTAATATAACGATTTTACAATTGTGACCACAGCAACTCTTATAAAGAAAAACACTTGGGCCTGGCTTAGAATTCAGAGGTTTAATCAATTATCATCGTGGTGGGAAGCATGGCAGCATGCCGCCAGACCTGATGCTGGAAAAGGAACTGAGAGTTCTACATCTTAATTCACAAGCAGCAGAAGGAGACTGTGCCACACTGAGTATAGACGGAGCAAATGAGACCTCAAAACCTGCCTCCAAAGTGACACACTTTCTTCAACAAGGCCACACCCACACCTACAGGCCACACCCACACCTACAGGGCCACACCCACACCTACAAGGCCAAAGGTCTTAATAGTGCCATTCCCTGTGGGCCAAGTTTTCAAATACATGAGGCTATGGGGCCATTCCTATTCAAACCACCACAACCTTTCTTCACATCTTCCCAAGAACAGTATCACAACACCTTCTCTGTAGCTAGTACAGAATTTTAAAAATACAAATTAAAAGGACTGTCTGTGACAGTGGGGTCGGGGCACACAGAACAAAGTGTGATTATTATTACTGTTCTATTCCTGGTATTAATAGCTCTTATATTCTCAGTTTCATCTAACAGGTGTTAAGATGTATTCTACAAAGGGATGATTATTATGATATGAACAGGAGGTTATTTTGCATATTTGAACAGTAACTGTTAGAAGCCAAACAAGGCTTAATCACTTTCTGAATGGTCCCTAAGAGACTGAAAGAACTTCCAAAGGAGAAGAGTCCCTAGTGAGCGGAGCTAGAAGCTGACGACCCTGACCAGAAGCATGGCTCAACTCTTAAGCAGAGAGTAGATGAGGAGCCTGCTGCACACGCCCTAGGAAAGTCATTGGACTCTGATGTGTTTGGCTGTTGGGGTATGTGTGCAAATGTTTCTGAAAAATGCTTTAATCCAGAGATTGTCTTTTTAAATGCTTGCTTGTTTACACTGAAGGAAAGAGCTTGCTTTGGGAGTTTGTCTATTTGAGTTCTGGTGCCCTCTTTCACACACACTTTTGACCAGGCACCAAGGACAACCCCTTTGTCTTGTCAGACAGAGATAGCTACATTTTCCCTACCTGTCCCAGAAGGCATTGGCAGGAAGAATTGGGGGAACACAGTGCAAGGGAATACAAATATAAGCAGAGAATTCTCACTTAGAGCCCCTGCCTGACATACAGGTAATGTTCAGGAAATAATATTTATCTTTTGTTAGGCACTTAATTTTTTTTTTTTTTTTTTTTTGGTTTTTCGAGACAGGGTTTCTCTGTGTAGCCCTGGCTGTTCTGGAACTCACTCTGTAGACCAGGCTAGCCTCGAACTCTCGAACTCAGAAATCAGCCTGCCTCTGCCTCCCAAGTGCTGGGATTAAAGGCGTGCGCCACCGCCGCCCGGCGAGGCAGTTAATTTTTGCTGAACATTGCTTTTTAAATCTCACTTACATACTAAAATTATTTCACCACATTATAAAAGACTGTGAGGTTGGCATAACTATTGTTGAATTTTATTTATGGGAACACTGGGGACTAGAAGGCCACTGTCTCCCAAAATACAACTAGTAAGTGGAAAGGGGAACCAAACTATGCTGTAAAACATTAGTTTTAGTATTTTTATGCACAAGTTGAAAATTGCTGTGTTAGAGAAACGTAACAGCCTGCACCCTGGACCCAGTGAGTAAAGAAACCCAACAGTTTCAGCTTTGGGTGTTTGGTTTGTTTGTGTTTTGTGTCTTTGTTTTTTGTCATTCTGGGGATGGAATCCAAGGCTCCTGGCATGCCAGGCAAAGCATCTTGTACAGAGCCTCTGCCCTGGCAGATGAGCGGGGTACAAGCTGAAGTTCACCATGCATCCATCAAGGAAATAGAGAAGCAGTCACTATAGACACAACCCCTTCCTCAACACATCCCTATTATAAAACAACAACAAAGCATTTACTCACACGCACGAGCATCATAAGACAGTGTGTTGCTACATGCATCTTCTCATACACAGATTATAAAAAGTAGTGTGGTGTCAAATGCTTGCAGGCGAGGTATATGATGGCAATGTTTGACCTATGGAAAACGGAAAAAACCAAAATAATATTGTCAAGGTTGGTTGACATTTTTATGAGGGAACATTGCACTCAAATTTCTACTTTTGTGTTTAATCGAATATTTTATTTTGAACAGGTGTTTTTATAATATGCGAAGAATAAGCTCCAAGTACTGTCCTTATTCAAAAGAGGGTTTACCTTAGAAAGTCTTGCGGGGGATATGACATGCAGGCAAGCCTTGATCATTACAGAAGTTCCTTAAATGACACCTTGTCTGCTCCACAAAATGTTATCGGCAATTCTCAAATCCAAATG